GGAGGGGTAACTCGCAGTAATTTTGATTTGTATTTGGCTGACGGTTAATGATGCTGAGCATCTTGTCACGGTCTTGTTGGCCATGTGTGTGTCTTTCTAGAGGAAAGGTCTATGCAGATCCTTTCACCATTTTAAAAATTGGGTTATGTTTTTTATTACTGAGGTGCAGGAGTTCATTATGTAGTCTCGATATAAGTGGCAACATTTTCTCCCATTCTATGAATTGTCTTTTCACTTTCTTGACTGTGGCCTTTGACACACACAGGTTTTTAATTTTGATAAAATCCAGTGTATACATTTTTTTCCTTCTGTTGTCTGTGCTTTGGGCGTCTTGGATAAGAAACCACCACTTTACCCAAAGTCACAGAGATTTGCCTGTATGTTTCCGTTTTTCTAGTTTCAGCTTTTACGTATAGGTCTTCGATCCATTTTGAGTTAATTTCTGTTTATGGTGTGACTTCATTCTCGTGCATGTGGATATCCCATATTATTAATTTACTTGCTTAATAGTTGCTTTAAGTGAATATGCTTCATCGCCTCACATAGGCAATAATATTTTTAAGATCCCGGGTCTGATGAGATTGTCACTTTAAAAAAAAATACTGTGTGTTCAAAATAAATACTAATCCCGAAATTGTTTTATAGTTCACGCATGCATCTCCCAACAGTCACATCATGCGCTCCACCATGGGAGACGGTGCTAATGCCGACGCTTACTGGGGATGAGGGATGGTCTAACAGGGGCTGACGGAGCAGGGATTGTGAAAATTTCCCCTGCAGAAGTGACATTTGACCTCAAACCTGACGCTTCCCCCAGGGGTTCGCTTTAGGAGACGGGGGTGGGGCCTGGCAGCATGCTCCAGGTGGAGGGAACAGCATATGCCGGGGTCCAGAGGAAAGCAAGCTCAGAACACATGCTGGACAGAGATGGGGAGGGAGAGACAGAGAGACCTGGAGAGATTAGAGAGAAAGAGAGCAGGAGAGCACAAGGAGAGAGCCAGAAAGGCCAAGCCCCGTGCACCTGTGCACACAGAGGCAGCATCACCCAGACCCTCCTGCAAAGTCAGGAAGTCTACGAAACACCTCCGTTGACTGGGTTCCGTTTCTGTGCCAGCCCTGGTGAGGCTTTCCCCCACTATGTGGGCTTCTCCTGGCAGCTGTGCCCAACAGGGAACTTCTCTCCTTGGTGGAGGAGACACCGGGCTCATTCCAGGGCTCAGCCAGAGAGGGTGGAGAAGCCAGGACACCCTCTGGGAGAGGAGGCCTGTGGGAGGGCCTGGCCAGCAGGGGACTGGGGCAGAGCGGGATCGGAATTTGGGTCTGGAGTAACTAGCTGCACGGCCTTGGCTTCTCCCCAGCCTGGACCCCATGGGCCTGTCCATCTCTGACACCCCGGACTCCCCACTACCATCATTACAATCTGCTTCTCTGATTCAGCCGGTCCTTATGCATTTTTAACAAGCCAAGGTCAGTGTTATCACCCAGAGTTGAGATGGCAATCTTTTCTTTATGTAGCTGATACCTAAAAATATCCCGTCCTCGGGCCAGAGGCATGGAGTACATTCCTGGTTCCACATAGCTGGGGTGTTCCTCTCCAGCTTGCTCGGTGGGATGTTAAATAGGAATTCAGAAGGGAAAAAAAATCTGAGGTCAAATTCATTTTGCAAACAAGCTCTGTTAGACAAAGTCAGACAGGTTTCTTTCCTGCAGGATTTGTCAGAGCCTGTGATCTGCCAATGGGCACTGTGCGTGTGGGGGTCGGGGAGGGGGCGTGAGGGTATTAGGGAAGCATCATATGTGCTGACCAGTAAGGTTAAGCCCAGGACCTCTCTTTGCCAAGGACTAGCTCTGGGGTCTAGTTTCCCCAGGAAGAAGCGTCACCAGCGCCAACAGGTGCCTGCCCATCCCCCTGTGCCTTTCCGAGAGCTGAGCACACGGCAGGTCCACTGTGCCTATGTGGCCGTGGATTGGAACTCCGGAGAAAGAGTGAACAGGCTTCCTCAGGCGCCATGGAGCCCAGCTCTGCGCTGCAGTAGATTCTCCACACAGTCAGGGCCCAGGCTGTAGGGAGAAGGGGTGGTGGCGGCTGGACAGCAAGAAAGAGTACAGGCTGACACCAAGGACAGGGCCTTTGTCTGCAGCAGAATTCCCTTCCGGAGAATTCGGGAGATATCCCTGGACCCGAGAACGAGTCACGAACGCGGGTGGTGTGTGACTTGGAGCAGGGTTTCCCACTCAGCCCCCCTGAGACCTGGAGGACCTCCCCTCCAAGAGGAAAGGCATGCGTGAGCTCGGCAGCCAGCCACCCTCCCCACCCTGGCCTGACCACCCAGTTTAAAATAACATTTGTCATCCGCTTATACACGTAATACCTGCTCACGATAGAGAATGTAGGAAATGTGCAATGTCACAAAGAAGAAAATAAAAACCACGTATCAGCCCATCCCTTCCTGACCTAGGACAATCACGCTAATACCCAGATACATTTTCTCTTGGTGATTTGGGTGTGGATATATGTATTTTAAATGTCACCAGAAGACGCATGTATTAGTCTGCCTGGGGCTGCCATAACTGAATACCACAGGCTGGCCTCCGTGCCTCCACCCGAGCCCAGGCCTCTGTTCTTTGCTGCCAGCCGACGCCCAGCTTTCTCCCTGACCTCCCCTCCCTGGCTCTGGCGCCCCAGACAGGGCATTCTGCATGGAGCTGCCCCAGGGATGTAAACGATGCACCAGGGCAGACCGCCTCCAACCTCCCAGCGGCCTCTGTGTCCTGGGCTGGCCTCCTCTCAGACCTCAGGGGCGGGGCTGGGGTCTCTCCTCCTGTTCTTGCCGCTTTCCAGAAGGTTCTCTCCTCCTTGTCTGGCAAACTCTTGATCCTCCTTCAGGCCTTAGTTTAAAACTGTTCTTCCTGGAAGCCTATCCTGCTCCCCCAAGACTAACTTAAGACCCCCCATGATTCCCTCTCCTGTATGATGCTTGGGCACCTCTAACAATTGCCATTAGTTAAAGATTTGCACGATGACTGTTGTCAAATTAATAGACGTCATGTTTTGGAGCAGTTTTAGGCTTAGAGAGGCTGGAGCCCATGGTGGAGAGAGTCGCCAATACCCCTGTCTCCGGGTACCTGTCTCCCGCCTCATTACTGTTTGCACCAGCGTGGTAACTTCGTTACAGGTGATGAGCAATGGTGTGTTACTGTGGACCAGAGCCCATAGGTTACATCACGGGTCCCTCTCAGTGTTGTCAGCTCTGTGGGTTTGGACCAATGCACAGTGTCCTGCCTCCCCCATGACCGTGTCACACGGAATGGCTTCACTGCCCTAACATGTCCCCATGCTCCACGGGTTCAACCCAATCACTGGTTTCAGTCCTTGCCCTACTAGACAGACTGTATACTCCGCCAGAGCAGGGACCCCACCAGCTGTGTTGACCATTCCACGATCTGCTCCCCAGCCCAGAGCCTGGCACATAACGGGTACCGTACCTCTCTCTATAGTTTTTGCATGTTTTAACAAAAACAGGATTCTACTAAACGCGTTATTCTGCAAGTTGCTTTTTATAAATATTGACCGTATACTTTGGACGTCTTCCCGTATCAGAACCTAGAGCACTCTTGCTCTCTTTCCCTTATGGAGGACTTCCAACATGCGCGCAAAAAGAGGACTGCCATTTACCTGTCCCCCGACTTGGGCGGCTATCAACTCATGGCCTCTCTGGTTTCACCCCATCTCCCGCCGCCTCCTTCCTTCCCGTGTTATTCTGAAGCAAATCCCAGACCCCAGTTCATTTCATCTGTAAATACTTCAGTGTGTATCTTGAAAGGAGAAGGACTTTAAAAAACGTAACCCCACCACCATCCCCACGTCTAGTCAACATTAATTTAAGATCATCAAATACAGTCAGTCTTCGGATTTCCAATTGTTTCATGAATATTGGTTTATTTGAGTTTAGAAGTTGTTTGACTGAAGATCCACATGAGGTCCTCGCCCTGCAACTGGTTGATGCCCTTGAGGCTTCTCTTGATCTGGGTCCCCCCCCCAATCGGTTTTGCCCCTGCCCTTCAGCTGGTAGAGAGCTGGCTCATCACCCCTGGGGTCCCCTCCGTCCGGACTGGGCTGACTGCGTCGCACTGCTGTTGTTCTGTGTGTCTCTGCCCCCCGTATTCCCTGGGATTTCGCAGACGGATGCGGAGGCTCGATCAGATTCAAGTTCAGTGTGTTTTGGTGAGACCACGTTGGGGTGCCGTGTGTCCTACCATTGGTCGGCCATCTCTGCGCGATGGCCGGCAGCTGCCGCTCAGAGCCTCGGGCCGCTGGCGAAGGGAGGGCTGCTACATGGCGACCTTCTAATCCTTCCCTCTTCGGTTATTAGCTGGGATGCTTCTATAGAAAGAAACATCCCCTCATCCACAGTTGGTTACTCAGAGGTACAGTTGACACAGGACAGAGAGGACATGCTTGATTCCCTCCCTTTATTTGCCGGATTTCAGAATAATGAGTTGCCTATAAATGTTTGAATGAATGCATGAATAATACATGTGTGGATGAACCAACGGGGTTTGGGAGTCGGGGTTCTCTCCATCTGCCCTCAAGGGTGTGGGTGTGGGCCGAGGCTGAGAGCTGCGGGGTGGCCCTGGGCCGGGGCCGGGTCTACACAGGGAGGGCTGGTGAGCAGCCCTTGCTGCCTGTCAGCCTGTCTCGGTCAAGAGCAAAGGTGATTAGGACACAGCGTCTGGTCAAGGTCACCTTGTCACCCTGTCCTGGGATGTCGGAGAACGCTGCAGGCACCGCCAGACAGGGGAGGAGACGGGCGGCAGGGGCAGCTTTATCCTGGGAAAGGGTTGAAATGGTGCTTTCTGAAGAGCAGGGTGATCAGGGAGGTTTTGTCCCAAAGGAGAGTCCTAGCAGGTTGGACGGGAGGCCTCCAGGGTCACCCTCCCGCGCCCACCTGCCCACGAGTTCACTGACCTCTCTGGCCCTCTGTGTCCCCCCCCCCCAGGTGCAAGTGCAACCTGCACGCTAACCTGTGCTCCGTGAGGGAGGGCAGTCTGCAGTGTGAGTGTGAGCACAACACCACGGGCCCCGACTGCAGCAAGTGCAAGAGGAACTTCCGCACCCGGTCCTGGCGCGCCGGCTCCTACCTGCCGCTGCCCCACGGCTCTCCCAACGCGTGTACGTACGCCCCTCGACCCGGCCCCGGCCAGTGAGGCTGCGGCCTCCCCCGCTGGTCACACACACACACGAGCATGCACACGCGCAGACGTGCGTGCCAACGTGTGCACACTCACACCCCCTGTTACTCGGCGCACCTGCCTCCTGCAACACCTAGGCTGCCCTTCCCGCCCCGGGCGCCAAGGGAAACCAGAGATGAGCTGCTCAGCATCTTTCCTGCTGTCCTTCCGCAGCTTGACCCTGCAGGCTGGAGAGAAGGCACCACGGGGTGCCGGGAGGGGGGTGGCGGAGACCCCTGACTCCAGCAGCACCATCCCTCATAACCAGCACTTACGGGGCATTTACAACCTGCCACATGGGCACCGCGTGCTGCGCGGTCACCGCCCCCCTTGACCCTCAGAGTTGCCCCTGGAAGGGGGGTCTCTTTTATCCCACTTTACAGAGGGGTCCTTCGAGGCCCTGGTGTGAGATCCCCTCTGGCCTCCCGGCCTCCTTTCTCTGCATCATCCCCTCTTCCCGCCCAGCCTTCCCGTGCCAGGGGAGTGCTCCTCGGGGTGTGCCCACACGTGCCTGCCTTGTGAACACCCTTTGGGGGGACCCACTCATCAGGGGCCTCCAGCATAGTCCATGGATGTTTTCATGAAATCACAAATCCCAGGGAGCCCCCGAGCTGCCGTGGGGAGGGGCTGGGGCTGGCACCTCGGGAGGACTCGCCCTGGCCAGCCCCCTAGCGACGCCACTGAGGTCCGACACTTGTCCGCTCTCCCGCAGAGGCTGCACCAGGCCCTCGATACATCGCTTCTCCCTTAGCCCTCACAGCTGCCCCACGGGTGGAGTAGGGATTCCCCCCGCTCTCTAGAGGAGCAACCTGAGGCCCAGCAGCCCTGGTCCAGCAGCGAGCGATGCGCCAGCCCTGGGCCCGGTTCCAAAGCCAGAGCGGGGCGGCCGCCCCCTGCCCCGGGACCACCCACCTGCCTGGGCACCCTCGCGGGAGGGAGCCCCTCCACTAACACCCTCCCTCCACTGACGTGAAAGATTTATGTGACTTTAGGCTGATCAAAGCTGAAAGCCTCACAGCGAGGCCATGACAGGCCTGTCATGCCTGTGCCGGGCGACAGGCCTTTGAAGGGGTGACTTGCCAGGCGCTCCCGGCACTCTGGGCTTTCAAAGGCACCCAGAGCTCTGGGCGCTGACAGCCGCCCCGCCGGCTCCCTCCCCGCCGGGTGTCCCACCCATCTCTTTGTTGGAGCCCTTTCTTTAGTGGCTGTCGCCTCCCTCTCTGACTGGCAGTCGGCCTCCCTTCATCTGTCCTGCGGGCCTCCTCCTCCCCGGTCTCCGCCCCACCTCCCGGAAGATCTGCCCAAGTCTCCTGACACTGGCAGACTCACAGGCCAGCTCCGAACTGCAGGCCCCACCCCGCGGTGCCCACCCTCTGTCCAGCCGGCCGTGGACAGACACCCGCACGCGAGCACAGACCCGACTTTGCCTCTGGACCCTCTCCCCTCCGTCCTGCAGGGGCAGGCGAAGCCCCTTCATCTGGGGAGCTCCTGGAGCTGGTCCCTGCTTCTCCAGAGTCCCCCACCCCGGGAAGGACGGGTGTCTCCGGAATCCCCCGGAGCAGAGATGAGGCTGGAGGTGCTGTGTGTCCTCAGCCTAACGCGAACCCCCCCTTCTCTAGGACAACAGGAGAAAACGGCCCCCAAGACACAGACAGAAACAAGTCCCAGGTTAATTTTGCCCCCACATGTCCCCATCCCAGTAATGGCACCAACACCCAGGGGGCCAAGCTGCAAGTGTGGGGGTCTCCCTTGACGCTAGCCCCTCCTTGCCGCTCCTCTGCACTGCCCCCCACTCGGTCCCCACATCCCCCCCCTCATTGCTGCAAGGGGGCCCCCCCCCCCCCCCGTCCCGAGCCCCGCTAGACCCCCCTCCCCGTCCTCCCCGCTGCAGGCAAAGGGCTCTCCTCACCAGGGTGCCCCCGCCCGGCACCCTCAGAATCAAATCCTAACCCAGTCCAACCCCCGCCCCTGACACAAGGCCCTGTGAGATCATCGTCCCGGGCCTCCCTGGCGTCCCCTGGGCTCACTCGGGGGCGGTCTGTGTGCCACGTAGCCTGCTGTCCACACCCCCACCCCAGGCACCGAGGGGCGTCCTCACCCTCTGTTCTTCTTCAGGGGGAAGCTGGCACCAGCTCCTTCCTTCTGGGACTGAGGATTCTTACCCTGCCCTCCTGGGACTCCGGTCAACCCTGACCATAGGCCTCCTTCAGCCCCCCGGGGCAGCGACACACACAGAAAGGCCTCCACTCACAGCTGCGTGGCCCTGGGCCGGTCATTTTACCCCGAGCCCTGTGTCCCCGAGCCGTAGAGGCAGGACCCGAGAGCCCCTGCGGGCTTTGGCAAGGACTAAATGGGCCGCGTGGGGGGCCACGCTTAGCACGTGCCTGGCACACAGTGAGCGCTCCACATGCGCGAGCGGCTACGCTTCTGTTTCAGTGAGTCACTCGGCCAAATCCACATCTCCGCAGATGGGAGCACACACTGTGGTTTCTCTCCGTGGCCAGTTCCATCAGCGCCTCCAGGAAACCCGTCTGCCGCTGTCGCGGTGCCCCTCCTGTCCTCTGGCCCTCCAGTGCCCCCTGAAGAAAGGCCCCCCACCTCCTTGTCCTGCGTGGGAGGGCCCGAGAGTCTAACCTCAAAGACGAGGGTGCATATGAAGCCCCCAGTGGAGTGTCTGACACTTATCAGCAGGTCCCCTGGGGTCAGTCATGGCTCTGAGACAGTTTCTCCATCTGCAAAATGGGCTAAGGCGGCCCCTCCCTCTCTGGGCAGCCCTGAGGATGAAACTGGATAAACGGGGGTCAGCCCGCACGTGGCCCCAGGTCTCCCTCCCCCAGCCCTGTCACCGCCCCCCTCTCCGCGGGGAGGCCTGTGACCCTCCTTCTCTCCCCCCAGGTGCTGCTGCAGGCTCTGCTGTTGGCAGTAAGTACGCTCCGGGTCCACCACCCTGGGGAAGGCCGCCGGGGCCCCCAGTGCACGACTCCAACTGCACCCCATTCACTTCGTCACCTCTCCCCGCTCCCTCCTGTCCCCTGGGCTGTGGCCCTCAGCCCACGCCTCCCACATTTCTCCCCTCGAGCTTCCTGGTCAGTGCTGCTTTGGAAAGGGCCCCCACAAGCCCTGGGTGAACTCCCCATGCCTCCCTCCCCTCCAGAGGGGCAGAAGTCCCCCCGACTGTGGGGTTTGCCTGGCTCGGGGCAGCCTGCACCTGTGTGCCCGTGAGGCTGGGGCAGGTGCGCCGGGATCCTGCTGCCTGCAGGCCAGCTCAGAGGGGGCAGACCGTGGGAGGGAGGTTGGGCGTGGGCACCCGCAGGCTGCCAAGTCCTCAGCGTTCACGGCACCAGGCCCTGGCTAGGCAGGTGCTTCCGGTACCCCACCCCCCCATGTGCCCCCCCCCCGCGTGTCCCCCATCCCCCGTGGGTTCTGCCGTCAGCTTTGAGAGTCAGCCGGAGATGACTTGCCAGGGTCAAAGGTAGCCGCTGGTCACTTCATGTTTCAGAAATGCTCGAGGGGGCCACAGCCCACCGTGGGCTGCTCCCTGCTGGGACACTTGGGGGCAGAGACGGTGCCAGAGGCAGGTGGACCCGGGAGGGGATGCCGGCCCCCTCAGTGAGGCCGGAAGTGGCTTCTCTGCGCCGCCCCCACACCTGCCAACTCCCCACCCTCTTGCCTTTCTTGTCTCTTGCCAGGTGTCGGCAGGCCCCGGAAAGACCCCGTCCCCAAGGCCCCTTTGGCCACTGTGGCCATGAGAGGGGTCCCCAGCACTCCTGCCCCCTCCACTTCCACTGGGCGGGCCCCCATGGCCCCCAGCACCCCACAGCCCACAGGTGGGTGCCCAGGGACAGCGCAGCTGCGCTGCTCTCCCCCACTTCCCCCCACGTCCCTGCCTCTGTGTGTCATGCGCCCTGCTGCTGGGGCTTGGCTCTTAGAGAACATTAGACCCTAGAGCCGAGAGTGTAGGACTGAGGGCCTTGAGGACGCCTAGGCCCTCCTGTGACCGGGCCCGAGCCAGGGGGTCTGGGGCTCACTTCATGCCCCTCGATGCTTCTTCCCCCTGCCTCCCAAAACACTGCTCAGGAGGGTCCCGAGACCAGCATGGCCGAGAGGACAGGGTGACTAAGGAAGGGGAGGTTCCCAGAGGCACTGAGGCCACAGGAAGTTCACCCAAAGCCTGTCCCCCAGGGGAGCTCCTGCCTCAGTGACCTGTGGAGCTGGCCCACCACACCCCCCACCATTGCTCTGCTTCCAGGTCCTCCTCAGCAGCTGATCCCTGCGAGTAGACAGCGCAGCGTTAGCCAAGAAGGTGAACTCCTCTGATCAGCAAGGCAGAAGGGCCCCTCTGGGCCCAGGCTGTTTAGAAGCGGGACTGCTGAGCTTTTCTGGGCTGGGTGTGTGGGGCAGGGCCAGGCCAGGGCCAGCATCCTCTCCTGCCCCACATCAGCCAGAGCAGCCACTCTTAGGGGTCTGCAGCGACAGACAGGCTTGGAAACACCTGCTCTCTGGTTCTAATGCCCCTCCAAAGGAGGACGGGTGTGTAGTCGAGGCCTGGGGTGCTGGGTGGCCCCCTGGACTCACCTGTCCCTGCCCGCTGCAAATGCCAGGAGTCTGAAAGGACTCATTCTTCCCAGAGGGTGCCAGGAGGGTGTGTCCAGGGGAATTCTCCCTGGTCCCAGCTGGGAAGGGGTGCCTCAGCAGTGTGCCCCAGCAGAGAGGAGATGGCAGGGGCTCCTCACTCCTTGGTCAGAGCCATGACATTTCCTCTCTCTGTGCACAGACCCGGAAGGGGCAGACCAGGTCTCCACGGGGCAGAGATCCCTCCTTCAGCTGGGGAAGGGATCCACACTCAGCCTCTCCCCACCTTGGCCTGGAGTGGGGCTCAGCCCTCTCCACGCCTGGGTGCACGCCGTGGAAAAGTCCCCCTTGTTCCTGCGCCATCTTTCACTCCTCCGGGGGACCCAGACGGTGACCCACCGCAGCTCTTTTTATTTCTGCCTTCCTCCCTTCTCCACGGGAGGCATTTGCAGGAGGCAGGGGCTAGTCAGGAGCCTCAGGGATTTCAGGGGAGCCTCCTGGCCCAGGGATCCTCTTTGGGGTGAAGGATGGGTCTGCACTGGGAATGCCAGAACAGAAGCTGGCCCAGCCGCCTGAGCTTTGGCCTGTGCTTCTTGGGGCTGAGCCTGTGACAGACAGATGAGAGCAAAACCCGCTGTGGTGGGTGCCGTGTCTGCGTGCAAACAGCGGCCCGTCTGGGTGGGAGACCAGATGCCCTATCTCTCTCTCTCTCTCTCTCTCTCTCTCACATACACACACACACACACACACACACACACACACACACAC